CTTCTTATGTTGGTCATCGTTCTGGAAGAGAAAAAAGTATTGTAAAAAAATCGCTTGTATAAAAAGTTCTTTATCTTAACTAAAAATTAAGCTTTGTCATTTTAATTTCTCCATAAATTAATATTTATCATACCTTCTTTTTTTAATGAATGGTTCCAAGAACTTCATATTATCAAAAAATTCAAAGGTTTTTCGTCTTGATGCTCCACTTCCAGTCGTTGACTCTTCTTGCTTTTGTTTTTTCTCTCGTGTATAACGCTCCCTTAATCGCGTCCATCTGGTTTGACACTCACCCACTAGCAACAAAAATTATATGTTAAAATAATTCAATTACTTTCCAAATTTTAATTTAAGAGAACTGATGAAATATGTATAACTAAACAAACAATAAAACAAATTTATTTTGTTATCATTTGTATACTAATTTTCGGTAAAAAATTACTAATCTTTAATCAAATTTTACTTATTAACTTATTAACTCAAATAATTACATTTTTTATGTTAAACTAATTTCAATTAGTAAAATACTATTGGAAATGAGATGTTATATACTTTTCATATTTAAAATCTTGGCTATTTCGATCCAAGCATTTTCCTTCTTCAAAGCATCCTTAAAATCACTCAACTCCTTATTGTATAAATAAGGGTGACTTTGAACTAATGAGATAAGAAGTCTATCTCCATCCACTTCACTTTGAGTGTTTATTTCACAAATTACTTCATCTTCAATCTCATTAGCATCTCGATAATAAGATTCATTATTATCCTGATAATGAGATTCAAAATAATATGAATTATGATCCATTTTCTAAAAAATTTAAACGTCGGATTCAACCTTATACTGAGAAAAGACAGCCACGATGAGACCAAAATCTTGAATCCTGAAATTGTTGTCTCAATTAAACAATAATTCCATGACAATAGTTAACTTAACCTAGCATGCAATGAGTTTTGAAACAATTATACATACGCAATATATACCAGCAGGTCTGTTGAATGCCACTTGGTGAAGCTCGCCAATTTACGCATCGGATTCGAGTTTCGTTTACACTGAACAACGTAGCCACGACAAGCAAAAATCTTACATCCTGAAATCATTGTCTCAATGAAACGATAATTCCACGACAACAGTTAACCTAATCTAACATGCAATGTTTTGAAAACAATTATACATACGCAAATATATACCAGCAGATCTGTTGAATGCAGTCTGGTGAAGTTCGTGAATTTATACGTAGGATTCGAGCTTCGTTTACACAGATAACGAGACAAAAAATTCGTAAGGATGAATTTTTATCCAATGCGACAACGTAATAGCCAGGACGAGGCAAAAATCTTGAATCCTGAAATATTTCTCAATTAAACGATAATTCTATAATAACAGTTAATCTAGCACTCAAGTTTTGGGAACATCAAATCAAACAATTATACATACGCATTATATGCAAATATGTACCTGGCAAGTCTATCGGATGTCGACTGGTGAAGTTCCATGATTTGAATTTACGCAGAACACAACAGTAACTGCAGAATAGCTTGTGCGATGGCGCGCGTTATGCTATGCGCTATGTGTTATGC